AAGATTATTGTTTAAGATTGATGGACACGCATGTCTTAATTAGTTTTTTTTTTTTTTTACGAATTGGTCAAACCCAAACGTAATCAAAAACATTGTTTTCAATTGTTATGAGTCTACTGATTGAATAGAATTTTATTATAAACAATTGTCTTGTAAATGGAATTTTTAAAGCATTCTGAATGTAAAAATAAAGAAAAAGAGTGCAAGACAATAAGAAACACTACCTGCCAAAAAAAAGTGAAGTTTTGTTGAAATCGGTTGAAAAATGTAGGAAATTCGATCCCATATATAAAGGAACACACACACACAAACATGGGTTTTATAATAAGTATAACTCGATATGAGTTGTCCCCCTTTCATCCTCGCGATGCCTCTTAATCATGTTTTCAAATTGATTTCATGCAAAAACAATTGTGTTTTTTCAATTTTTGCCACTGTCAGAATCACCGCAAGATAATTTTATGTAGTCCTGTGAAGTTTTGTTGAAATCGGTTGAAAAATGTAGGAAATTCACTCCAATATATAAACGAACAGACACACACACGCGCGCACACACACACACACACACACACACACACACACACCTGGGTTTTTATAATAAGTATGATTTACAATGCCTTCTTCAGATGTCTGTGAATTCAAGTAACCTTCAAGGAATTTCAAACTAAATCTTTTATTTTTCCTAGGAGAGTTCCAGAAAGCTAAAGTGTTAATTCATGAATTTGATGTTATAGAAATTGCAAGTTCAGTCCCTGGCCACAATAGTACAGACCAAGTCCTCCTGTAAACAGGTCAAGCAATAACTAAACAGTACTAAAAAGAAAAGAACAAAATGATATTCCTAGATATGGACAACAGAACAAAAGCAACTTATTCCTATAGACAAAATTTTACAAGCCTCTCACTACTCTATCACTATTTCTATGACAAGTATTCTGATGAGGCACATTCATTAGTTTTGCCAGTTCAGACCTTCACAGTCAGTTTGTTTTTTGTTTTTTACGGCATATCAACCACAATGGGTTGTTTAATGCTGACAAATTTTATTGTTGGTAATATTTTTCTTCATAAATGTATTGCTGGTAATTGTTTTTCCTTCAAAAATGTATTGCTGGTAATATAATTTTTTTTCTTTCAATTTTCTAGAAATTTTTATTTTTTTTTTTTTACTTTTAAAATCTATTACTGGGAATGTTTACTATAAAAATGTATTTTTACGCTTTCATATTGTTTTGACCCCAGTTTGGGGGTTAACTATTTACCCATAACTGGGACCCTAACAGGTGCTACCACCCTGGGTCAGGGTGAACATAGGAACACCAACAATTAAGAGGTGGTTCCACACTCCTCAAAACCTCCTGATCAGAGGCCTTTCCATTGGATGTAGTTTATTGTCTTACCCAGAACGCAGATGTAGCGTTTATCATCATACCCAGGACAGCTTCACAGTCAGGCCTTGCCATACTGTCTACACTGGGACAAATCATCCCTATTCTCTTCATATTCCATTTGTAAGGAGCTAAGTTCCTTTTGGACATTTCCTTCCCTACAACTACTACTTTTTGTGACAGGCTCCCAAAATGATGCTTTCCTAGTTGCTACAGTCTTAACCTCTTCAAGTCTAATGTCAACTGTTATCTTTCCTACATATGCTCATAATATGTACTTCATATCTCCTCTTGCTGTTTTTATACAACTTGATTCAGTAACCCTCTACTTGAGTGACTCTTGGGCCTTGCATACTTAATAAAAAAAATATTTTAAAAAAATAAAAAACAGATTAAATATAGGGTTCGGTTCAAAATTCCCTGAAGGTTACTTGGATTGACAGATACCTGAAGAAGACCAAAGGGCACGACTGCCAAAACACTGAGAATAACAACAAAGAAATCATTGTTATTTTCATTGAGTCATATATGTGTGGCTGACAGATATTTTGTCATACACAGTTGAATCAGGGAACTACAATGACGGAAATTCCCATTATCTGGAAGTAATCAGTTAATTGTAACAGGGGTCTAATCAATAAATGTACAAAAGACATTATACAACGTATAGATACATAGATTATTAATGTTGATCAGTAGGTAGATGGGCTTTCTTCTTTTATATGCTATGTCTCTTCAGGAAACAGCTGATCATGGGTCTCCACAACTTCCTGTTTTTTGTTGCTCAAAACAACTTTTTACCTTTACCACCCCTCTTTGTTCTGCCATCTATTCACTTTTTTATGTGCTATGTCTCTTCAGACATGGCTGATCATGGCTCTCCACAACTTCCTGATTTTTGTTACTCAAAGTAACATTTACCTTTACCATCACTCTTTGTCCTTGTTCTGCCATTTATTCAGTTTTTTATGTGCTATGTCTCTTCAGAACATGGACAATCATGGCTCTCTACAACTCCCTATTTTTGTTGAACTAAGTAACTTTTAACCTTTTACCATCCCACTTTGTCCATGTTCTGCCACCCATTTACACAAGCTTAAATAGGTTATTCACCATTTCCCATGCTTTTCCTACATACTGTGAGTGTTAAATTCTCCCAGCCCCCTTTCCTCATTATATATTCCAGGAATCTCTACTGTATCTTTCTGATTGTAAGTATAAATTTACTTGTAGTTCTTACTTTACATAAAACTTCCTCATTGCTCATATGTTGAGTCTCTGGTATTCTTAACACACAGTGTTTGAAGTGTTGGGATAGTAACAACAAAGATAAGGACATTAGTTTGACTGTAAATAATTTATTGGCTGTATTTAAGCAGCAATTATTCATTTATGCAAGTTTGATTGGAGGTTTGTGTAAGAAAAGAAAAAAAAATTTTTTCCATACTCATTTTTATTCCACTTACTTCTAGTACTCCCTAAAGTTCTTTAAGTGTAACTCAGGACTCGTTGACAACTTTTTTTTGCTAATAATCTTGCTGTACATTCCGTTACCTTTCTAGGACGATGAAAGATTTTTTTTTGGATAAATGGAATGATACATGTTCCAGTGATGAACTATCGTACCAACTGAACTCAATGGTACATTTAACTAATTAGATACCTTCCTATAACCAAGTCCATTTGTATGAAGGTCAACAATACGTTTACGGAGGTCTTGATCAATTATTTTGCTTTTCCCCATTTTGTCAATGTTTAAAGGACAGTTGACAGAAAAAGAATGATGCAATACTCTTAATCATTCCTAAAAGTAACTATAAAATTAATCTGGGACATTCTAAAAAATAACCCCATCCTAATTTGGAACACTCTAGTAAAAATTTTAATACTTTTATAAAAAAGCTGTAAATAAAAAAAATGTGTTGTAAACTTTATCGGTTTTTCTTTGCAGGATACTTTTTTGAAGTTTTTCAAAAAATTTGATTGTCTAACTGAATACCTAAATATATATTCTACGAGCAGTAAAAGTTTAATTAATGTAACTGTATTAGCAATACCTAAAAAAAAAACATTTTTGGGATGTGCTGTAAACTTTTGCATGGCACTGTAGCTGATTAATGTTACCTTCAGTACCCTGACTTCAATGTTTTGTAGATGGACCCCACCCATTCAGGAATCACTCCATACACTCATCAGGAGGCATTAGCAAGTGACTATAAATAATTCTCAATTTTTCTTTTTTATATGCCCTTCTTATGAAGACTTTGCCTTGCAAACTAGTATTCTGGTTGTACTTTGGAAACAAAAGTATCACCTTAGTTTTAGCAAGCCTAAGGAGATACTTTGAGCAAGACTCATACATGGCATGCTATTTCTTCCACACTGAGTATGAGCTCTGGAATGACAATACTTTTTGACTTTTGATTCCTGCCCACTATCTCAGACAGCCCAACATCCCAAATAGGTCCCTCATCTTGATAGCTTCAGTTGCAGAAGGAGACTGACCACCTGCAGTAATGTTTAATCAAACTACTGTTCACATTGTTTCATGTATTTAATTTTTTTATGGATCAAGAGGCAATTTATTCTTGGTTTTTGGGAGAGATTTTCTTCTGTCTTGAACTTTTTCAATAATGTTCATAAAAGTTGAATTTCCTACCCTCTAGTATCTGACTGATTCTCATTAGGTGAGTTAGATCACCCTGCCCCCATCACTCTACCTACAATCCACAGAAGTTCTTCATTAATTGTTGTAGGGTTGGGTGATGAGGTCTAATCTTGGGCATTTGGGGGGGGGGTCTTGATAGGATGGTGGGTAGGTGGATCTTGTGTAGAAAGGGAAAGTATGGCTTTAGTGGATAAGGTTGGGGATATATGGATACATTGGGATTTAAGCCTTGAGTGAGAAAGGAAAACTTAAATAAGGGGTGGTGGTTGGTTGGTAGAAGGTGAATGCTGTTTTTATTCTAGAATTGGAGGTGGAGAGTTCATAGGTTTATGGGTGGAGGAGGTCAGTAATTAAGTTTAGTGGATAATGACTTGAACCAAATAAGTGCATGATTGGTAGAGCAGAATCTCCTCCCTTTCACATTCTCCTTCAAGACAAGGAAAGGAGAGGTTAGGAATTTTTGTTTCCAAAGAAAGACTTATTTATTTTCCATTGAAAGATAAAATCAGGAAGTGGTTGGGAGTTCAATTCATTACAAAACTTAAAAAAAAAAAAATAATGAAGGAGAAGGAGAAATTAGAGAAAAAGATATAAGGTGTCAAAGAAAATGTTTTTTTTGAAAGAGGAGATGAAAAGAAAAAGATGAGAGAGCAGAAAAAAGAAAAGGGTCAAAGAATAAGGGAAGTGAAATATGTAAAGGGAGATATAGACAAAGAAAAAGATGAAGTAATTGAGGAGCTTCAAGAAAAAGTTAAAGGAAACATTCTGGAAAAACTAAGAAAAGAATAAAAATAAATTTAGAAGACAAATATAAAGAGAAGAGAAAAAGAAATTTCTTAGATTATAAGGACAAAATTGTAAAAGTTGATAAAAAAGACAGAGATGTAACAGAAGAGAAAAATAAAGAAAGACATAAAATAAAATAAAAAAAAAATGTGGGATATTTAAAAGGAAAGGAAAATGGGAAGATATGGTGGAATGAAAGGATAGGGTAAAAAGAACAAAAAAGTGTAAATAGGTTGAAGAGAAGAAGGATAAAGATTTAGGCAAATAAGAATGAAAAAGAAGAAACAAAGAAAAGGGAGTAGAGTTAAAGGAAAGAGGAGATTAGAGTAAGAAGAACATGAAAAGAGAGATGGAAAGAATTGTTTAAGAATAAAAGAAAAGAGAGAGAAGGACGAGAAAGAAAAAAGAAGAGAGAAGTACAGAGACTGAAATGAAGTTCTGAAAAAGAAAGATAAAATTTCAGAAAAGAAAGTGTAAAAAAGAAAATGTAAGGAAATTATTTAACATTTTAAAAAAACTGTCAAAATTGAAAAATGATAATTTTTTTTTAAATTTCCTTAATAGTGTTAAAGACAAACAGTTTTTTTAATTGCTCATTTAATAAATTGAAAATGTTCATCTCTGTTTGGCAGACACTCCTTATTGCTAAGAATTCAGCAAAAGGAATGGCCACTATTTCAAAATCAAGAACAAAGAATGATAAAATAAAAGATTTGCAGAAAATAATCAAGACATCTTTAAGATAATATTTGGAAAGAAAGAGAAAAAAGGAAATTTTATCCTATTCTGTTATACAAAAAGATGATGAAGAAGAGGAAAGAAAACATGCAAGGAAGAAGGAGAGTGCAAGAAGAAATAGTTGGAGAAGAAAGAAAAACAAACAAAAATACAGGAACAAAGAGAGAAAGAAGGAAGGAAGGAAGGAAACTATATATAAAAATTAAAAAAGGCAAAGAAAAGAATTCCAGAAAAGAAAAAGAACAAAATCAAGGTACAGAAAAGAAGGAAACCAGGGAAGAAGAAGAAGAAGAAAAGGAGTGATGTGTAGAAGGAAGTTTCAGATGAAAGAAAATGAATAAAAAAAAAAGAAAAGAAAAAAACAGAATTACTTAATTGGAGAGTGAGAGAGAGAGAGAGAGAGCGAGAGAAAAAAAAGGTAAGCATTAAGAGATTAAAAAGAAATAGAATTGAATAAGGAATTTAAGAAAAGAAGAGTTTAACATAAAATTAAAACCCTGACTTTAATAGCAGAAACGAAACTTAAAAGTACACTTGATCCTGAAAAAGTTGCACATATTTGAATAAACAAGGTTTATAGGCCTTTGTTTAAAAATAGGAAAATCTAGTAACAAAATTTATAAAGAGGAAAAGGGTAGGGTATAGAAAAACAAAAATTTAAAACATGTAAAATATGAACAACAGGTTATCAAGCGGAAATAAGATGGATAGATTTGCAATTGTTAAAAAAGATGCAGAGACTCACTTGAAGTCTGCAACAAAGTAGAAAGAGGCTTGGCTCTCAAGAGGAAAATAAATAAATACAATTTGGAGCAAATATATATATATATATATATATATATATATGGTGAGCAGATGTCTGTTATTTAAGATTTTTTGCATTTGTTATGTTTAGCTAAGTCTGGCACAGGGTCACCAGTTCAGGATAGCCCAGTGAAGATCAAATTCTTCTTTGGGATTAGCATGGTAACATTGACTCCATTGCAAGCCATTCTTATTTACTCATTTTAGCTTAGTATGGATCATTATTGCACACCTAGTGAGGTCCAAATGTATATCAGCCATAATAATAATCTCTATCTATAAAAGGCAGGATGTGTGTGTGTGTGTGTGTGTGTGTGTGTGTGTGTGTGTGTGTGTGTGTGTGTGTGTGTGTGTGTAACGAATGCATGGCTGCAATTTTCAACGGATTTGCACCAAAATTTACATGCACATGCTCCAAGTTAGTGGGAAGGCCAAGACCGACTTTGCATTTTCCAACTCCCATCAATAGTGGAAATAATCGATTTTTTTCATGCTTCTACAGCAGTTTTATGTAGTTTGCAGCCATTTTCTAGTGGCCAGAGTGAGAGCTAATAGCTGGCTGGCAGGAAGATTCTATTGGCCAGCGTGAGAGCCAACAGCTGACTGACACGAATGTTAACTAGCATGCTAGCATGCAAAAAAAATCGATAGCTGCATTCGTCACAAGTGGGAAAAATTTAAATCTGTATGGCACTTTACTCCAATTGGCGCATTCTCTTGCTTAAACTCAATGTTGATTCTGATTCCGCAGAACTGGGTTGGGTGTGAAAAAGTATTTATTGTTAACATTCTTTTTTCATCCGGTTTTTCCAGTTGCGAGTCCTTTTTTAAAGCTGATCGTTTTGTGTCCATTTTGTTTAGTTCTTTTTTCGTAACAGATTTAATGTTCAGTATAGAGCTTAGAAAAAATTTGCAGTATGAGATAGGCAAGAAGTAAAGCATGTAGCAACATCAGCACAGCAAAGAGCACTCGTTTAAAGGCAAGGAAGGGCAAAAATATTTTAAGTCAAGTGATAGCGATTGCTGTATGAGTTGCACAATTTTTGAATCAAGCATGGGCAACACTGGGCCATGCTGCTAGTCTGTCATAAAAGTGTATATGTATATATATAAATATAAATATATATATATATATATATATATATATATATATATATATACTCTCTTAGTCCCCATAAATGAAAAACTGAAAGAACATTAGAAAGACTAAATAAAAAGAAACATTTTCTATGTCCATCACATTCAATAAAACATATATGAAAAAAAGCCCAAATAAACAATATATCTGATCTGTATATGTGCACATGTTTCCAGCATATTTTATTTAAACAGAAATTGGTTCTCTACTGTGTATTGTCACTCTCGTATCGGCCTCTACAGTCACAGACATCGATGCCCCAGTCAAGCAGACAACTTGGATGCTACCCATGGTCAACCCTGACTGACTGACAGAGTCCTACATTTAACTTCTAATTTTAAGAAAACAATAGTGCTTGGAACTGTTGAACACATTTAATTTTATATATATATATATATATATATATATATATATATATATATATATATATATATATATGAAGAAAAAAATAAGGTATGCTATATTTATGGGATAAAGTGCTCAATATCAGAGATAGAGTGTATGTAAATATAAATATAAAAATGAACGCTGAAGTCAACACTCAGAGGCATGTTTCCATGTTTCATGCTAGACACAATCGTCAGGCCAATATGATATGTATATATATGTGTGTGCATGTGTGTATATATATTGATGTAATAGGAAAGAACAGTTAGATTAATGATCCAAAGTTCTTTAGTCTTTGTTTTTTTATTTTTAAAAAACAGTGCTTGATACAGAAGTAAAGCTTAAAATTATAATTATTTTTTTAAAATGTTTCCATTGCGACACAGAAATTACTGTTTCAAAACTGACTCAAGTCCTAAAGTTTAATTTCACTATTAAACTTAAAATTTAAAATACAGTTTCATTCTCAAGTGATGTTTCGAAACATACTAATTTCTGTGTTACGATGGAATCATATTTTTTTTTTAAATAATTATATATACTGGGTTCGATAGATAAATTGTCATCTAAATTACACAAAAACTATTATTCTTGATTATATTGTTATTATTACTATATGTATGGAAATGCACATATACATGTAAATATATGTATGTATATATACACACATACACCTATATATATGTGTGTATGTGTGTCTCTATTTGATACCATTCAGAAATTGGTATATTAATAATAGTAGTTCACCCAAACACCACAATAAAATGACTTAACCATATGAATAATGACTTTTGTAGAACCTATGACTATGAGAAAAGATCACTATCTTAAATAATTTTTGTAATGGCAGTAGAACCACCACCACCAACAATAATAATAATAATAATAATAATAAGAGCAACTATTATGATTAATACTACAGGTCTGACTATTGAATAAGATATATTTTTAATATTTAAACTTGTTTGGATGTGTGATTAAATTCTTTCCACAAAGATGAAATAAATTTTGCCAGATTGAGTATGTGTGGATATGGTTTGTTAATGGTGTGTGGATGTGCTCTTCAGGTAATGGTTGGTAGAATGCCCAGCTCCTCCCTTCATTAAATTATTATTCATGTAACAAATAAAAATGATATTGATTCAAATTTCTATATTTTGTTTTTTTTTTTATACTTTTATGTTTTTTGGAAGTCAGTTATGAAAGTTTTATAGAAGCCATATTTTTTTTTCCTTTTATAATGGGAAGAAAAAGCTATTATTTTTACCATTTCTCATATTATAAATATGCCTCATTTAAATATAATTTATTTTAGTTTTTTCTTTTTCCATTTTTATGAGGTCAGATAAAATAACTATGATGAGAAAACACATAAAAAGATTTTTATCATAATTTTTTTTTGCACCCCTGTCCAAATGAACATAACATTAAGATGGGCAGATGACCAAAGCACATCTTGCAATCTATGAAGAATTTCTAATTGAAATGCCACTGTCAGTTTATTTATTTTTGAATTCATGCTTTTATCATAAAAATGTTTCACCTCCAATTTTATATTTATAACCATATAACATTATAAATATCAGTCAGAATTTTAAAATTGTTCTTTTTTTCATTTTAAATAAGAGCTGCTCTTTGTTTAATTCCTAGATCATTTCAAAATTAACTTTTATCTCTAAGGATTTTTATTTTTCAACAAGTATTTAGAAAGAAAAGTAAAAATGTTGTTAGCTTTTCAGAATTTAAAAAACTAAAAATGCTAGTAAATATACTTCAAGCTAACGAAAAGTCAAGGTAAATTATGGAGGATGTTCAGTGATGTAATTTAATGTCTAGTAAATGAAAGTAAGTAAATGTTGTTCTTGAATATTTATTATAATGTAATATTTATTTACATTATTTTAGTTTGAGATATTCATTTATGCATTATATAATTTAAATAATAGCTTTTAAATTTAAGCATTTCTTTTACTTTTTTAAAAAGTTTTTATAGTCATATATATTAGCTTGGGAAAAGGAGTATTTCTTTTAGGAAAGGAGATATTTGATCCAGATTTATATAAATCCTTACATTTGCCTTGATAAAGTCCATCACAAGATAGAATGCATCAGCTAAGCATATTTTATTATGCAACTCAATGTTTTCCAAAGATTTTCAGAATATATTTATATGAGCTTTATATCATGTTAGTTTCAGCTTGTGTTGTAACCTAGGGAAAGTTACTGAATAGAATAATCAAATGAAGGTTGGTAATGAACGATAATACTCAGCACAAGAACAACACACATAAGATTTGCCAGCCGTGCATAGAAGAAGTAGTCAACTGCTAGAAGTAAGATAAGTGAATTCCACAATGAATCTCCAACTCTAGGATATCTACCAACTGCCCAAAACGGTCAGATGTGGCACAGGGCCGAATTTAATGTGAGGTATCTAAGCCCATAGGCTAGTATTAATTTTTGAAAACATTGATTTGCAAGATGAAATGTGACAAACACATATACAGACCCACACTGTCTGTCTGTCTGTATGTATTAACATACATATACATACATATATATATAGTTATAGATATATATATATATATATATATATATATATATATATATATATATATATATATATATATATATATATATATAAAAAAGCTAAAATGTATTCGCACAATGACTGAAAAAGTAGAGATTATGAATAAGGTCTCCTGACAATATGTCATGGGTCATTAAATAAGACAAAATAAACACACACATCTATATATATATATATATATATATATATATATATATATATATATATATATATATATATGTATATAAAGTAAATAATAAACAAATTAACTAACCACTCCTGCCAAAATAACTGTTAGAATAGACTACAACAATCAATCCAAAAATTGGATAAAAAAATAGCTATAATTACCTTCCCAGATAAAAACAAGCTACTAAATAAACGATTAGAACTTTCCTCAAAAATCTTTTTACTACTTTACTAAAACCTTGAAAACTGAAATAGATAAATAAAAATATAGAGAATAAAAATAAATAAAAAAACAAGTAAGATAAATTCATCCAAATAGTGATTTTCCAAGTGTAGCTT